TTCATAATGACAGCTGAACGATGTCTTCCTCCTCCTATCCTCTTACCAAGTTTACCATGCCTACATTCTTCAAGAAACTTGTCTAGCACGCCCACAGTACATGTACCGGCACAACCATCAATGCCATCCTGCACGAATAGCACAGTTCATACCGTCCAGATTTTGGGAAAAGGTTGACCTGACCTGGGATAAATGCATTATCCCATTCGTAGTCGGGGTATACCGTATCTCTCATATTTTCGGCGGTATACCCCTCGTACTCATGGGATAATCCATACGTATTCTTTAATTTTTGGTCGCGAAGCACGCATGCCTCTTGATATTTTGTGTCCTCCGCCTGCCGACTCACTTCCGGAAACACACGAATCATTTGCAAGAGGATGTTTCGAAGCTGCGCTTTTCCTACGATTTGGTTCGACAGCATCTCGATTCTAGTCAAAGTTGCTCTAAAGCCCGTCACGATCGAAAATCTCGCGCTAGCCCATTGAATGTAGGTTACCAGGTTTGGTTACATCAAAATCCGCCGCCTCAAGTTTCGCCTAAATTTTTCAAGTATTGGTCGGGACCATGGGAGATTGTAAGGAAACCGACAGACGTTACGTATGCGATCGAACCTCGATTTGAGAATCCTATCCGCCATCGACCATGCACAGTCCATCGAAATCGCCTTCGGAAATGTTTGATCCAAGTGGGACCTGCAAGGCGCACACCACTTGCTGCGCCCACACGCCCACCGCTTGCTGCGCCTACACACACATACAATACTCGGTCTCGCGCTTTAGTTTAAGTTCATGCTCTTTGAACATACGTATTCTTCATTGGCCGTGTCTTTTGTTTTGTTTTCTTTCTCTTTCTCTGTTGGGGTTCTCGTGTCTTGGTTTTCGTGTGTGTGCTCTGGGTGTTGTTTCTCGCATGTCAGTAACATGACCGAGGGTTCACCGATGCACCCGGACCTGGTGGCGACATTACGGATTCCGTTTCCGCCGGATTCCCCGCCAGCAACGCCTCCGCCTCCGCCTGTCGCTGACCGCCTACAGCAAACGCCGCCGCCGCCTTCATCCCCTGCATGGAATCCGTCGCCGTGGGGGTCGCCATCCCGGGGCCGGAGCTGGTTTGCTCGCACGGACACGCCATCTCCGGTGCCCGGCCACCGTCGGCACCAGCTTCGCTGCAAGCGACGGCGCCGCCATTGATCTGCCGGCGCACCTCGATGGCGCTAGATGCCACGATAAACGGACGCCCGCACCATCACCACCGACGCCTTCGATCGACAACCTACTAACAGCCATTCGACAACAACTAAGCATTCAGACGTACCGACCACCGCGACGACACAACACACCCATCCAACATCAACTACGACCGCGCCCGCAACCACGACCACGACCGACACAGTGACACCGCTACTACGACGCCAACGTGTTACCACCTCACCGACTTCACGCACCAACCATGCCACCCCACGCGCCATACCGCCACTGTTCGACCCTGCCACCCAATCGTCGTCCTCGTGTGTTCCCTCGTCGTGGGCCTATCTTTGTCCGCGCCAACCGTTGGTTTGTCTTGTGCTGTCCTTGTCCTTGTCCTAATCGTTTTGTCATGATTGCCTGAAAAAGGTAGTCTTTAATAGTCGTTTTTTCGTGCCAATTTGTGTCCATCGTCCTTGCCAGGTTGTGTGTGCGTTGTTGTTTCTTGTGTGTGCGCTTCTTTTTCTCCTTTTTTGAACTTGCGAATTATATCATTTGTGTGTGCGTCTTTTTGTGTCTTGTGGGTCTTGGTCCGTTTGTCCCGATGATGTTGCTAGCACGCCCACTCTTTCAGAGCGAGTGTGCAACTGAGGATTTGTCTTGTTAATGAAGGATTACTCGATTCTTCGCACCTCGACGGTTTTCGCCTGTTCTTGTGTAGTGCCTTCCTTGTTGTTTTGAGCATATGTGTGAGCGTATTGCGTGAGCGGGCAGGCCCTTCGGAAGTTGTTGTCTTCCGGGTGCCTGTCGTTTCCTCGTTGTTGTCCTTGTCGTTCTTCTTAGATCACCTCGCCTCAAGATTTACAACATTATATGCGTGTCTTAAATGCCGATTACATTTATGATTGCGTTACATTACATTACATTTTTGATTGGGTTTACTACCGTTTTTTAAAAACTATTTTCCCTAAAAAGATGTTCTTTCTCTTTTTTCCGCGAGGACGCGGAGTTCTTTTTTCATGGAAGAGTGGTATGTTAGGCCCACAAGTAATTACAATAATTATATTAATTCAAATAATTCATTAGGTCATGCATTATTCATTTGGTCTGGGTAGCTACTTGCGCGTCCATGTTTGCCATAGCTACCCAGGCCCTTTATATTGCGTTGCCTCTCTCTCAACTCTTTCTTGATTCTTGACTCTCGATTCTCGATTCTCGACTCGCACTCGAAGAAGATCTGCCGCTAGACCTGATTCGCTACGTTGCTCTCCTGTTGTACTCAATAATACTGTAAAAGCAGAAATTTTCGGTGTGCAATATTTTCGGAATTCGCCAAAATCGGCGGTTCTGTGTAGGGAAATTTTCGCTAAAACCCGTTTTCCAAGTAAGTGTACTAGTACGACATGTATACAGAACCTGTTCTACCGAAATTTTGGGACGTTTTATTTTCGGTAAATTTGTCAGCACCGAAGTTACCGCAAATAAAACACATCACGGAAAAAGTCAGCTTTAACAGTACACAGTAAACGTGGTGTAGTGGTTATGAACAGTGTTTAGTCATCACGTGACCTGATAAGACTAGTGGTTATGAACAGTGTTTAGTCGTAACGTGTCGTGATAAGACTAGTGGTTATGAACAGTGTTTAGTCGTAACGTGTCCTGACAAGACTAGTGGTTATGAATAGTGTTTAGTCATAACGTGTCCTGATAAGACTAGTGGTTATGAACAGTGTTTAGTCATAACGTGTCCTGAGAAGACTAGTGGTTATGAACAGTGTTTAGTCGTAACGTGTCCTGATAAGACTAGTGGTTATGAACAGTGTTTAGTCGTAACGTGTCCTGATAAGACTAGTGGTTATGAACAGTGTTTAGTCATAACGTGACCTGATTAGACTAGTGGTTATGAACAGTGTTTAGTCGTAACGTGTCCTGATAAGACTAGTGGTTATGAACAGTGTTTAGTCGTAACGTGTCCTGATAAGACTAGTGGTTATGAACAGTGTTTAGTCGTAACGTGTCCTGATAAGACTAGTGGTTATGAACAGTGTTTAGTCGTAACGTGTCCTGATAAGACTAGTGGTTATGAACAGTGTTTAGTCGTAACGTGTCCTGATAAGACTAGTGGTTATGAACAGTGTTTAGTCGTAACGTGTCCTGATAAGACTAGTCATACTGTCATCATGGTCATACAAGGTTTAACCACAAGACCAGTCAGTACAATAAATCCCGGTGTTAGCCTAAAATACGACCAGGTTTACTGAAGTATACGCTAGAGTTTGCTTGTGTATGGTCTTTTGCACACAGGACATCACAGCGATAGCAAGGAAGTGCCTTGGAATGACACTACACATGCAATTTTTTTATTTATTTTTTACAATGATCGCAGCTCACAGGCAAAGACAAAAAATTGCATAGTGGTAGCATAGTGATGGTGAGGCTTTTTGCCCTCAGCCGACCTGAGGTCTCGACGTCATGGGGACATAAAACGCACCAATTGCAACTCCCAAAACCTATTTGGGGCTGAACGGTTAATATTGAGACAAAGCCATGTCGAGCCATCAAGATGCCGTCTCCGGGATTGAGGCTGAGGTCACTAAGCATCGTGCAACTAACAAACCTCCAAGGCGCATGCGCAAACACACACGCACATTACACACACACACCACCACACAAACACCTACACACACACGTTCACACACACGTTCACACACACACACACACACACACACACACACACACACACACACACACACACACACATACACACACACATGTGCATGTACAACTCCAGGTAGCCGTGATCTCGTACTCTCCTGTAAACCGCCTAGGTTCAGTTCAAACTTGAACCTAGCATAGTCTGAGAGCAAAAAGAGTATTCGGAATATCTGAGAGTTTAAATTGTATCAGCAATAATCTTTCCAGATACAAAACACCAAAGCTGAGGCAACAGCAACATTGTCACGTGTACAGAAACAAGAAAAGGCCAGAAACAAATACAAAGAATGGCACGGTCAATTGTACACGATAGTCAGCCAGCGCTGTACACTAAGAAATTTAGCTAGAGGGAAAATAGTTTCAAACAACTAATAAAACTGGCTAATTAATGCGATTAATAGTATAAGTGAAGCGGACATTACAAAATGATGAATGAGAATACATGTATCTAAAATGGTTGTTCCTAATCGATTTTCTTGAGACTATCATCAGGGAAAAATCGTCTCACAATAGAGGCTATACGGAAAACAAACTACTTATAGGTTATAGGATAGTGGGGAGTATACAAGGTGAGGTGTGAAGAAAAAAAAAAAACTAAAGTGGGAGAGAAGACGAAAGAAATTAGAAGAAAAGATGTGAGAGTGTTCAGACGGTGTGAGCTACTACAAAAGGTGAGTGAAATGAAGGCGTGGAAGCAGGTGACTGTGATAGAGTGAGGAAGTGTGAGGTGTAGGTGTATGCGAATGAATATGTGTGTGAATGCTAGGTGAAGAGTCTCAATTTTGTGACATTTTCTTTCTGAATGCATAGATTAGGATTGTGTTTACGGATGAAAACAGCTTCTAATACCTTAAGTTCACGAAACCTACGAGCACGGCACAAAACAGTGAAGCATGAATCGTCATACACTGAGCGGCATTGGCTACTAGACAAGAGGTGTTTTTTAATTGCTGACCCTTTCGTTGTGCTCTCACCTTCAGTCCGGTCATCTTCATCTTGGTTGTCCAACTCACTCTCTTCATCACTGCTTACACCTTCTTCATCCTCTTCCTCTTCCATCCCGTCCTCTGCACCCGACGACAATCCCACGCTACTGCTCACTGCCAGTCCATGTCCGGTTGTAGATGCCATTACCAGCGCACGAGTCATGCTCCTTGTTACTGGTCTCCGTACCTGTGCTTGTCCATTTCCTACAGTCTCACGTAACTGTGCACTTGCAGTGGGTTCACCCGCTGCTGTAATAGTGTGGTTCTGTTGTGCAACTGGCACCTGTTTGCGGGGACGGCCTCGCCCAGGTCGCTGGGCTTTGGCTGCATCTGACAAAAGGTACAATGGTACATGTTGTTTGACGCGTGCGTTCAGGTGCTGAAGGGTTCTTCCTACATATCGGCTATCACAATGCCGACATTCAAAATGATAGATTACATGGCTAATTAGTTGGGTAGGAAGAACATCCTTCTTCACCGTGAACGCACGGGCCGTAGTGAAGACAGTTGTCAATGCTGTGGCAAAATAGGTTTGTCTGACCACAGTCCTCACGGCGCGGGCCACATCCAGCGAAATTTGACCTTTCCATGGAAGTCGTAAAAATACACGACATGGGTCAGGTCCAAACTCAGGCTCGGCAACCTGAATATCAGGTTCACTAAACAGCTTACTGAGGAGCTGAACAGGATATCCATTCCGAACGAATACCTTCTTCAGGAAACAAAGCTCTTGCTGAAGCTTATCAGGCGAGCAAATCCGCCTAGCGCGCATGATCAAATTTCGTACGAGATTAGTTTTGTATAAAGTCGAGCAATAGGAGTCGTAGACAATGTATTGCCCGGTGAACGTTGGTTTTCGATATACTGAAGTTGAAACAGCCATCTCCGTTTTCTCGACTAACACATCGAGAAAAGACAAACGGTTTGACTGCTCATGTTCACATGTAAATTTCAGAGCGGGATGTAGGTTGTTGAGCATACCAAGAAACTCATTCGATTGTTCCAGATTACGGAAATGCGTGAACGAATCATCTACGAATCTAACATATAAGCTTGGCCACATCGCACTTGGAATCTTCGATTCATAAAACCCGACAAACACATTGGCCAGAACTGGACCTAATGGTGAACCCATGGCCACCCCGTCAATTTGGCGGTACATGGTGTCATCAAAAGAAAATTCAACATCAGTTGTCATCATCTGCATTAGTCTGCGGAACGCAGTTTCGGACATCCAGGGAGAATCGAACTGTTTACTGTACTCTTTATCGTGGTACAGAGCATTAGCGCAAATGTCAATTGTCTCCATCACGGGCACATTGGTGAACAAGCTTACAACGTCGAAGGAGCACATGTGGGAAGAAGACGGTACTGGCTGCTCACGCAGGATATCGATGAATTGGAAAGTGTCTTTTACATTGTGTTTGCAATAGTACTTAGCCACTGGTGTAATCATATCGCACAACCATTTCGAAACTGTATATTGAGGTGAACCACACATTGAAAGTATTGGGCGAAGGGGACAATCCTTCTTATGGATTTTCGGCAATCCATAAAGTCTGGGCCGTGTTGAACCAATCGGTTTAATTCGTAAGTACTCATATTTAGATATTTCCTCTGCATTCCGCAGCTTCCGCAAGTACTTGATGATATCAGATTCTATAGCAATTGTACGGTCGTGTATCTGTACAGGGCCTAACTTAACAAACTTCGACCGATCATCAAGGATAGTAGCCATCTTCGTGTGGTATTGTTCTTTAGTGATTATAACAGTGGCTCTACCTTTGTCCGGTCTCGTGATAATAATGTCTTTCCGTGCTCTGAGATCTCGGAGGGCTTTCAAGTGCTCTCGAGACAAAGAGAAAGATTTACGGTCTGGTTGTTGTGTGGCATGCTCTTCAGCTATCGATCTCAGCTTGGCAGCACAAAGTGACTTCTGAGTATCCGAACAAGGTCTGAATTCAGATAATTTATTGTAAAGTAGTTCAAATTCCATTAAAGTCACTTCAGGTTTCAGCGAAGTAGGAGGAACTCCGTAATCAATGCCCCTACACAAGAGATCTTTCTCTATGTTGCTAAGTTCTACATTGGCGATGTTGATGATGGTGCTATGGTCAATGGTGAAGGAGCCGAACCGTTTCTTACGAAGCCAGTTCAAATTCTTACGATATTTTGTAATCAGGCGAACTTGTTGGTTAGCGTCGTTCTGAGACAGAAGGTTCGAGAAACGCAAGAAGTCCAACGGCGAGAGAAAGGAACGAGCCAGAGCGTATAGATGTCTGAACTGGGATTTGACTTTGCTAAGAGTGTCCTTACTACGGCTAATATCGTCTTTGATAAAAACCCGTTCCAGCTTGAGTGAATGATAAGCTTTTGCCTTGTGAACGCGGTTTTGTATAGACTGAGGGCAAACACCATACTCTAAACATTGTGTGAGGAATGTAAGGTTATGTGCAATACTACGGCAAACAAAGCGCTTCCTAATAATTGCGTTCAGGCAATCAACCTGAGTAGCAGAATATCTCCTTTTGAAGTAAATGAAAAGGCGACGAGGAGACAATAACTTTATTAATGCGATTAATAGTATAAGTGAAGCGGACATTACAAAATGATGAATGAGAATACATGTATCTAAAATGGTTGTTCCTAATCGATTTTCTTGAGACTATCATCAGGGAAAAATCGTCTCGAAAACTGGCTAAGTTCACGGTGCAGGCAGGTGGAGGACAACGATCAGCTATGATGTAATTAATTTGTTTACCAGACGACAACGACAATGAAAATTATTCACGAAATTTCCTTGTATTTGTAAAGAGCATGGCGAATAGAATGTATGGAACACATCTATCAGATATTTCAAGAACCAAGAAGCAAACTATAAACGAGAAGTCCGTTTACTAATTTCCTAAAATTCCATGCATCTAAACACAGACGTGTGCGCACGCACGCACACACACACACACACTCACACACACACACACGAGTGGTAGACGTCACCCGTTGTGGCTATGCAGACTAGGCTTGCCCGTCACAGCTGCTTTCACACTTCTTCAGTCTTCATGACAATTGTTCATGGAGACGAAACACAAGAGACGAGAACACAACAGCATTGAGTTAATTTCAGCAAGTGAAAGAACAACAGGAATTACCACATTATGGTGAAAAAAGGACAACAAAATGTTACGAGTTATGACTAACTGTTCCAAGTGAATACCACATTTTAATACTTTGAAAAATCAATCTTGATCACAGGATGAAAAAAGCAGTGTTGACGACTATGATGACAGCGATGACGACAATGCCAAGAACAACATCGTTTGAGATGTGTTCTCTGTTGAAAGTCAATTATAATCACTCAACAGTTTATCCCTTACCAACGTCTAATGACAACACTAGCTTCTCAATTTTCTTCTTTGCCTGGACACATAACAAAACACATAGTCAGTTCAGTGAGTGCACAGGGTTGACAGCCTACACTATCGACTACACTGCTGACTACACTGCCCACTGTTATCTGATAGCCAACAACTGAATGAGGGGAATCAACAGAATGGTTTGCCAGATTCACACACATCGCTGACAAAGACACCGACACAGATCTGAACGTTAACATACGTG